CTATCATGATTAGTTGCTTAAACACTAATTATATACATATATGTGTCATTATATGCTTATTAGGATCTGTTGTGCTCAAGGCTTCACTTGACACTTAGCATCCTACAAACCGATCTTACATTCGCATCACTCACTGCAGGTGAGTTCATACCCCCCTTAACTTACCTTTTAAATGATTTTAAAATGCTTTTATGGGGGGGGGGGAATGCAAGTAGAAACATTATAGTTATTATATCAATCACATGTGATTAATAACTATCAAACAGATAGATTTCTTATACTTCAAACTGTGTTTTCAAACAAATTGCTTCAAATCGTTTTAAAAACTCTTTTATATGTAAAACTCTTTATCAAACTCTTTTAGACTTATATTTTGTCAAAATCATGTCTATATAGATATAGTTATATAAGTAGGATTGAAAGGACTTAGGACTGATAACTCGCCTTATTTCCTGTTCCTTGTTTTGGTTGTGGACTTAGGGTATCAGTTGTTTGTCCGAAGGTCGTTTGAATCTTAGTTATATATTGTGTGTATGTATATAGATATAAAAGTTCTTCATTCAGTTCAATACCTTTGAGTAGCAAAGGTGTACAAACATGTTCATTCATACAAACAACATTACTAGTAAACTATAATGGGTATAGTTTAGGAAGTCACTACTTACTATTACTAGAACAATGAAACATACAAGAGTCAGTTCATACATGAGTCAGTTCAAACATACTATAACGAGAGACAATACTCACTATAAAGAGAAACGGTACATACTATAACGAGAGACAATACTCACTATAAAGAGAAACAGTACATACTATAACGAGAAACAATACATACTACACACTATACACTAGAGAACATACTACACACTAGACAGAGAGAACAAACACTACACTAGAACATACTATACAAATACAAGAATACTATAACAATAATGTGAGATACTACTTCATGGCGCGACAATATACCGTTGTGTCACGTTTTGTACCCAGAGTCTCCTGGAGGGAGAGCGTGAATTTGTGTATAGATCTATACGGGACTGACCATCCTACACCTTGCTGCTAGCTACAGTGGGACCTGCAGGTCTACAGGTGACGAATGTCATATCATTTCGACGTCTCGAACGTCGTGTTATACTAGTCGATCAAGTATGGTTACAATCTTATCACATTTTACCTTAATTAAACAAACAAGTTTAAGGTAGTTAGTACATTGGTAGTTACATAGATAAAACTACAGTACATCTTTATTTTCCCATTTCATTCACATTGTGATCTTCTCACATAATCGGTAATGAAAACTATATTTTGGTAATGATAGTCATACTTTGGGAAAACACACACACTTTTACAAAAGAACAAACATAAAGAACAGTTGAGTCTTGGTAGAAGACTACTTTAGTAGAAAATATAGGATTTTCTAGGAAGTTTACAAACATTTTACATCAAACACTTACAAACTTTTACATCAAACATTTACAAGCACTTTCTTCAAAATTATACAAACAATGACACTAAAATACTTATGAACCCACCAACTTTAATGATGATCTACGCTTTCAAAATAACTTGTATTCTCAGGTCGCCAGTAGACAGGTACCGATGACCAGGTTTTAAGAAGATGGTGCACATTCAAGACTCATCTCTTATTTTGATATATATTTTTGGTGTCTTATAAACTATACAGAACACACTTGTATTAAATTATACTATTAATGCAATGGATGATGTTGTTGCTTGTTTTACTATTATGCATTGTTGTAATACTGTACATGACGTCCTCTGCCCCCGAATGTTTCCGCCCTTCCGGTTTTGGGGTGTGACAAGTTAGAGCCTTTAAATATGGGGGATACCTTAAAAATCTTGGGCTTGGGCTGCAACAGCTGCCACGTTGTGGCCATCCTCTTCCCACGTTGTGGCAACCAGGCCAGACGCGATCTTCATTAAATGATATGGCCAGGTCGTGGTGACCTCTTCACCACGTCGTAGCATATGAGCTTCCCCCAAAACCTTATCATTAAACTCCTTGAGTCCTCTTTTGATCAATTCCGAGAAACAGGTGTTACACAGTGGCAGCTGGTCGTCAACAACAGCGGTGGCTCGCAGTGGCTGGTGGCGGTGGCTCGTCGGCTGGAAAATGAAAAAGAGATGGAGAGAGAGAGAAAGCAGGAGAGTGATCGAGAGAGACGTGTGAGGGAGAAAGACCAGTTGATGCTTGCTATAAAAGTTAATGCTTCCTATTTATAGCATTTCTTGAGTGACGTGTGCGGACAAGAACGTACCGTGTGGTGCGTTCTCGTGTCACGTGTCCCGAGCGCTACGATCCGACTTCTCAAGAGAATTTTCAAGTTTTTGGTTTATACTATTCGATCTTACCTTCCATAAAATATAAAAATATCCACCTAACGAGTCGCGCAACTAGGCAAACGAATCATATGAAAGTACGTTAACAGTAGATTCCTATTTGCTATTATTCGACTGTATTTGCGAAAGCGTTACTTTTCGTGAAACGAAAAAGTTAGCACTTAAATCAAATATTAGACATTTTCCTAATTCGTAAAAAGTTAATATGTTTTTGTGTTGAGCCGCTTAGCTAACTTAATGAATCATCTAAAGATTCGTTGACAGGAAAGCCGATATTACTGTACCTTGATATTATCTACAGTAGTGTCGAGGTTTTTTTTTGGGCATAACAAGTTAGTTTTAGACTCAAATACTATATTGAATGGTGATTAAGGGGAAATTATTTGAAATTCCAAATTCATTGTTTAACACACCTAATGAAACATTTGAAGTTTCGTTTTGACGATTACACGCTAAACTGTCAGTTTTCTTTGAATTGTCATAACTTTTACGTTCGAACTCCGTTTTTGATGTTCTTTATATCCACGGATTCATAATTACATGTACTTTCTGTTTAGTGTATCACGTATGCATAATGTTACTTAATACACATATCCATTTCAATCATATGTATCAAATCATTACTTATGTATAATGAAAAATGTTTTCTCGTCAACGATCTATACCCATCAAAGACTTGAATGATATCCCATATGCATTTCCAAGTGTAAAACTTTACTTGCATTATAATGAGTGGAATATGTTACATTAGGTCTATTACATTCATGTTCATAGCGATAGTCTTTGACGGAACTTGACCTATTTTCATAATTGTCACACATGACCACCACCGTCCAACCCATACCTTCTCTCTCTCTCTCCTCTCTCTCTCTCTCTCTCTCTCTCTCTCTCCACCTCCTACTACCTTCATCGAAGAAACACCACCACATGCCTTCAACAGAATTCACCATTCCATCTCCACCAACCACCTTCACCATCTCCGCCCACTACCTCCAATAATCAATTCCAATTTAGTAGATTTAGACCAAGAACATCGATTCCATTTTTGTAGATCTATACCAAAAACATAAATTTGTTTTCATGTATCTGGATCCAGGCTTATTAAGATCACTGGAGAAGACGTTGGTGATGGTGGTGAACAGAAAGACGATTGTGTAGGGCAGGGGAACGGAACATCGGGGATTTTGTTCCCATCTCCATCACATTGGAGTAAATGTTGGGGTAAATTACTTAAATGTTCCCTGCAGTTTAGAGAAATAACCCCAAACTCCAAAAAAATGGAAAAGGAAAAAAAGAACAAAGAAAGGGTAAAAATGTCATTTTATAGAAATTTAATGGCATTTTTTGACGTCGTGGGTCGGAAAGACTGTTTATGTAATATCAACAAAACACAAGGACAAAGTTTGTCCATTTTCTTGAAGTTGGACTATATATGCCTATTATCCCAAACCACAAGGACCATTTTTGTAATTTACTCTTTTTTTTTCTTTATTATAGCATCATACTATACTTTGAAATATGTAGGTCGTTTCTGTATTTTTTTCTTCTTTCCTTTTTTGCAATAAAATAGTTGGTTAGGATGGCAAACAACTGAAGAAGAGACTTACAAATATTTTCATAAAACAATAGCACTACACCAATTTTTGAATTACCAGGAGGACTTGAACTCGTAGAGATTGAGATTTAGAAAATTCGATCTCACACACATGTCATCCAAATGCAATTCAAACTAGAATATATGCAATTATAAATCATCTGCAAATGAGAAGCTTTTTGTACAGCTACTATTGCTCCTCATGAAATCTGTCTGTTTTTTCATATTCTCCAAGGTCATTTCTCATAGCCAAAAATATACACATCAACTAACATATGATAACACATCAAAATTGTTATCAAGAAACGAAATCAATGTCCATAAAATTGACAATTCACATTAAAAGATACAACCAGCTGCACAAACTGTCTAGTCAAATGCAAAATCAGCTGCAGCAGATCCTCTAAAACACTTTTATGTGAAAATCTATACAACACAACTCATTTAAAATCAAAATTTATAACTTATGTTTGAACATGATTTTATATCCCGCTGCATTGCAATAACTCAGCAGCATCCATTCTTGACTTTTGGTAATTAGGATTGCATGATATATATTGCCTCTAAAATAACAATTTTTTAAAATATTCTTGCAAGACGATCATACCAAGTTAAAATAAGCCACAATAAATATTTCATTGTTTGTATTGAATGAATATGGAGTAGCATTATTTAACACTACACAACTAGTAGCTTATAAAATTGAAATCATAAGATATAGAAAAACATCTTGGAAAATAATAAAAGTGTCAGACACAAGGAAATGGCCAAAGCCTAGTGAAATAACAATAATAAGTAATAGAATAAGGTTAAATATTCAAGCATCATACCTTTGCATACAAAATAAAAGGTTACAAATAACTTGAATCCTACCTAGGGGTGCATGATAGTTATAACTACAACTATGCAAGAGCACCAACAAGAAATACAGCCAACATACGAACATAAGGAGGTTTTTAGTTAATTAATATCCATGAAGACGTAAATTCAGAGCTTGTGAAAACAATTAAAATACAATAATACAATGTTTTCATGAATGAAAATCTCAAAGTCGCAGAAGAAGCTTGAGAGTAGACTCGGGTTGGATATTATAATAAGCCAGATTCCAATAACCTTGTAGCTCTTTCCCATCAAATATAAGTTCCTGCTGAAGAGGAGGAATTCCCTGTTTCTCCTCAATCTTTACCTTCACGTCATTAATGGTGTCTGAGCTTTTCACCTCCAGGGTGATCGTCTTCCATGTCAAAACCTTAACATAAATCCTCATATCACCTCCCAACCTCATAACCAGATCCAAGGTAGATCCTTGTTGGATCTTATAATCCATTAAAGTCGCATCATCCTTGAGGTACTTTCCAGCAATTATCAAGCGCTGACGATGTCGTGAAATCCCTTCTATTTCCTGAATCTTTGACTTCACAATATCAATGGTGTCTGACCTCTCCACCTCCAACGTGATTGTCTTACCTGTAAATGTCGTGATAAAAATCCGAATAGTATCTCCTCCCGCCTTCATAACCAGTTCCAATGTAGATTCGTTTTTGATGTTATGATCCTTCAAAGTTTTACCATCCTCGAGGATCTTTCCATCAATGATTAAAAGCTGTTGATGCTGTGGAATCCCTTCTATCTTCTGAATCGATGCCTTTACATCACCAATGGTCTCTGAGCTTTTCACATCCAGCTTGATCTCCCCTGTTAAAGTCTTAACAAAAATATAACCTCTCATCCTCGGATGCAAGTGCAATGTAGAATCTTTTTTGATGTTATAATCCTTCAAAGTTTTACCATCGTCTAGATATCTTCCATCAAAGATCAAATGTATTCGATCAGGTGGTAACCCCTCTACTTGATAAATGTGTTCCTTCACATCGCCAATTGTTTCCGACATGTACACCATCAGTGTGATTGTCTTCCCTGTCAATGGCTTAACAAAAATCTAGATGTCAGTTCCTGATAGAAACCTTATTAGAACCATGTGCAATGTAGATTCGTTTTGGATGTTATGATCACTCAAAGTTCTACCATCCTCTAGATTCTTTCCAGCAATGATCAAACGATATTGAGATATTGGAGTCTTATCTGTGTCTCGAATCCTTTTCTTCAACTTAGTAATGGTCTCCGAGCTCTCCACCACCAGCGAGATTGTATCCCCTGCCAATGTCTTAACGAAAATCCGCATATTTCCTCCCAACGACAGACTCAGGTGCAATGTAGATTCTTTTTGGATGTTATAATCCGCCAAAGTTCTTGGACCCTCGAGGGTCTTCTCAGCAATGGTCAAAAGCTGATGTTGCGGTTGAATCCACTCTATTTCCTCAATCTTCGACTTCATTTTACCAATGGTGAACGAGCTTTCAACTTCCAAAGTGATGGTCTTCCCAATTGGAGTTCTGACAAAGATCTGCATACCGCCACGAAGACGGAGGACGAGATGAAAGGTGGAATCCTTCTGAACATTGTAGTCCGCGAGGGTTCTGCCATCTTCCAACTGCTTGCCGGAGAAAATGAGCCTCTGCTGATCAGGAGGAATACCTTCCTTGTCGTGTATCTTGGCTTTGACGTTGTCGAGGGTATCCGAACTCTCGACCTCCAAGGTAATGGTCTTGCCGGTGAGGGTTTTGACAAAGATCTGCATGCCGCTGCGAAGGTTGAGGCTGAATAATGAGGGTTTTGATCGATGGGCTTGGGTTTGAATGTAAGGACCGGAAAATGGGGCAGAAAAAAAAAACGTTAAATGATATTTTAGAATCAAATTATGTTCGTTTCATTTTTCAACAATGGATTAATTGTATTTGTAGTATATATTTTAATAATAACCTAATGACAAAACATCACAATTGGTTTATATGGTTTCTAAAAAGCGACAAGCTGATGAAAGTGTTAAAAAGTTGATCTCATCTTATTTTTATTTTGCATTTTTAATTGTTATTAACATATAATTTAGGTTTTTGTTTATTGTTATTTAATTTAATACTAGGTGTAAAACTCATGTTTTATATGGATTCATTTGAAAAAAATTAAATATGAAAGTCTAAACATATAAGAAGTTTGAATTTATAAAAAAAATTAGAAAAATATTGAATTATTAAAATTAAATTGTTTTTTATCTTTTAACTTTAAACAAATAATTTAGATAAATAAACAAGGTGTCTAACTATGAGTTTCTAACCAGGAGGTCTTTGGTTCAATCCCATGCAAATACTAACATGACCGTTCAAAAAAACAGATAAATAAACAAAAGAAAATAATAGGGTTTTAATTCAGAAATTGTGAAATTAGAATAAAAGTCAATTAATGAAATTGATATGTATTTACTATTACATTTATTGCAATTAATATATTTAATTAATTATTATATGAAATTTAATAAAAATGAAAACAACCATAAAATGTCACGTAGAAAAATTTTAATTGAAAATAACAATAAAATGACACGTGGCGAAATCAATAAGAGTGTGACATGTGGTAAAAATATTTTTCTTTATTAGAATAGAAGATTTATTAGTTTTGATATCATATTCAACTTAATCTACCTTTATTAATAAAAGAATAGTTCTAGCATCCACGTGTCATCTCAGTATTCCTCCACGTCAGATTTTGCTACTTGTCTTATGTGATGCATTTGTTTTGATTTTGAAAACTAATTACCAAAATTACCGATTTCAATATACTTAAATAAATTGAATACATTTAATGCATTCTATACCTAAAATTCTGCACCTTCTAAACGAAACTAGATTATGACCCGCATTAAACGCGGGGAACACATAAATAAAATACAAATTTATATAGATATTACAGAATAATTATAAAAAAGCAGGGTTGTTAGTATCATTGAAATGTGTAGACATTACACTAAAATCGGTAAATATATATAGTCGTTTGAAGGACATCTTTATAAACAACATTTTTTGTTTTATTAGTTCAATGACCTTGCTCGTCACATATAAGTACCTTCAAATATTTTTTACTTGTGACACGGAAAACAACTATATATAGCCAACCATGCGTGAAAATGGGTCTACACAAGTATAATCCAACATTTGACAATGTACTTTCAAAATACATTGTCATTTTATGGCTATATTGCGAAATAGAACGGTTTATTTCAAAAAAATAGCAACTTATTTATGTTCCTTCAAAATGAACCACATAAAACCCCCCACAATATTAAATATAAAGAAACTCTAACCAATAAATTTGCAACGAAGCTAATCATCTACCTCCACTTCGTCTCTCATATCAGGTCTTTTTTTCCTTAATCTGAGTTGTTGTCACTATCATCGACAATGTTAAGATTCATTGATGGCTTCTTTTTGATTTTAGGGATAATATGACAGAAATCATTTATCAGGTGCATCATTTATGTTTATATCTTCGTTTTTTTGTTGATTTTGATATGCCTTCTTCGGTTTACCACCATCTTTTTTTTCAGGCTCCCTTTTTTATGAAATAACATTTTTTTTGTGAAATTCGTTCTACAGTTTTGAGTATGTGTAGGTACGTTGATTTTTTGAAGTAAATAAAGTAGGGTTTTTGTTCGATGTTGGTTCCTAGGTTTGGTTCTTATTTTTTGTGATTTCTCATAATCCATTGCTTTTTATTTTCCATCTGTATCTACAATCTTTATGTATAGAACACTTTATCCATATAGTCATTCACTACATAATTTAATGAAGGAAAAAAGAAACACCCCCTTAGTTTTATTTACTTTGCAGATTATCGAGCCTCCATGCAAAGCTTACAACATAATGAAAAAAACGAAAAACCATTATGAGGTAAATGCCAATTACGATTCTACCCATTTTCCTCTTGTAACAATTATCTCACTTCAAAACATCGGTTTTTTTGTGTTTCAGCATATTATTGATAGCATTAAAGATCCAAGCATTGCTGCATTTTGGTTAATCACAATGCCTCAAATTATGGGAGGATTTGAATATGATGATGAGGTCAAACATAAAATATGGTGGTAATACAAGGTTCTTCTTCTTCTTATTTATTTATTTACTTATTTTTTAATTCAACTTTATTACGAAATTAAATAGCTTCTTTTGTTGATATTAGTGTTTCTTATTTAGAAAAATATGTGATATGATCAACTTCTTGATGCCGTAACAATGAGAAAACTTGGATGAGCAAGAAGTGAGATAAATTTATAATTTATTAACTTCAATGAAAAATTAATTAATTACAGTTTTGTTATTGAATTTCAAATATAACAGGGATTATATCAATGGATACTGAACGTGCAAGAAATGATCCAGTGGTAGTAAAGAACATTCCTTAATACAAAGCAAAGAGCAAATTAGAGGCAGAAAGTGATGAAGTTCAATCCACCACCATGACCTCAAAACTAGGGGGGGATCAGTATAAACAAAATTTTTTAGTAAATTACATATATTGGTCCATGTGTTTAGTTGATTTTTTCGGTTTTGGTCCCTGAAAGAATCAGGTTGCAGTTTTTTTGGACTTGTTTCATAAAACTTTTATGATGCCTAAGTTAACAGCCTAGCTGTTAGTTTTTTTTAAAATGACCATTTTGCCTTGGACCAAAACTAAAAAAAGTATAGCAGAACAACAAAATTTATGTTTTTCTTTTTTTCCTTTTTTTTTCTTAAGTTTAGAGTAGATTACATTTTTGGTCCTTGAGTATACCTGATTTTTTTCAGAAGGTTCTGAGGGGCATTTTTTGGTATTTTAGGGTCAAATGCTGACTCTAGTTGAGTACACACTTCTATTATACCATACATTCTTACCTGCCAATGTATGGTACCGATTCTTTTTTAACAAAGAATACGGTAGCCTATTTTCATCTTGACAACATGCTTATATTTAACTTTAAAGCTCACATCAGTTGTTGAGAAGGTATATTTATTATTCTTATTCTGTTACTACCGGAGACATAAGAAAACTTTCTAATGAGGGCGTTCATGTCTTTTGTACAACCCATCTGTTATATTATGGCATGTCCTCTCTCGTCTTGTCTATTGATTTTTTACAAAGGTATAAACAGATGTAACATCATAATTTCATTATATATAACATTCAAGTTTAACATTGAGTTTACTGTTTTCGGAAATAGGATCATAGTTACAGATTAAAAAGATGGAACCAAGAACCAAACACAACATCAAAAAAAAAAATCAACAAACAACATTATACATCCAAATTATAAGTATTCAACAAAGAACCATACGAATGAATAAAAACATATAAATTTGAAAACAGTATCAAACCTATAAATTAAAAGGATTTAACGAAGAAGTACATACACTTATTCTACTAATCAGGCTGATGGGAAGGTTGAAGTTTTTTTGCTTTTGTTTTCTGCGGAGGAATTATGACAGAATGTTTGTGTAAATCGATTATTAAAAAGGTTTGAAATATATATACAATTCAGTATGATGAAAATTAGCAGGTAATCAATTGGAATCCCATTTAAACTTAAAATAGAGGATATCATGCTTGAAAGTGTATTGGTTCATAATAATATCCGAAACTTTTGAAATTTGAAATTAATAGTTTCCGAGATTTCAACATATAATATATATGGAAAGCAATTTTGAATGGAATATAGCCTAAATTTAAGGTTTACATTAATAAGGAACCAATTTTGTAGTTGTAAGTTTGGAAAGAATTCAAGTATCATTTTCATTCAATTCCTACATTTAATTTCCTAATATAACGAATGAAAATTAATATTGGTAACGAAATATGATTTTGGAAACTTTAAAAATCATCGCGTAAGGCTTCAAAACAAACGGGTTGACTTCTAGTTTGATCAAGGTGACGTAAGCAAATTGATCTAATGGTGTAAAACCTATAAAGAAAACACAATCAACGGCCTAGATTGTTTTAGATAATGTCATAAGGTTTCTCTTTTAATAATATTTAGAGATTAACACCTATATTCCATAGAATCTAGAATTCATATTAAGTCCTACATAACATCATTTATAATTACGGTAATTTGGTAACATACAAACCTTTAAATAAGGTATTTCAAAAATAAACCACGCATTCAACCTAAACATCTGGTATCACAACCTTATTTAACGTGATAATTCGAATATCTCCCAATATTTAAAACATTTTTAACGATTTGCATTTGATTATTCTACGGATATATACATGCATACGCTATGATAAGAAATCCTTAACACTTTCGTCATTCCTCTTATTCTTCTTTCTTTTTCCAGTTTCTATTTCATCTGCTAAAAAACAAGTTCAAGATATGCTAAAAAACAAGTTCAAGATATCAGGTATTTCATTTGTTTCTTCCTGTTTCTTTCTTCCATCATGTTTCTACTTTTTTTTTTCTATTCCATCCATTTCTATCATCTATGTATTTCTGCTACCTGCTTCTATCCCTTTCATGTTCAAAATCTAAAAAAAACATTTATATATATATATATATATATATATATATATATATATATATATATATTATATATATATATATATGTATATATATCTTTATACCTTAATAAGCATTTACCCCAAAATGCTGAATTTTAAGAGGTATAACTCTTTATGCGATTTGTACAATAACTTTATGCATCGAATGGTCAACAAATAGATAAGTCAAGGCTAAGGATAAGGATAATGATGGGTCATTCAATGAAGACTAAT